CAGTTTTTGAATGCAAATGAATTTTATCATTGAAGAAAGACTGCATGAAGCAAAAGCTCTATCTCATGTGTTTTTTGGTTGCAGCCGTTTTACTTGATGTCACCCATGTGCAACAAATGATTAATAAGATGGTTTAGTTCATCTCTGTCTTTGATTTGGAAGCTGTATTTAGTATTACTTAAGAGAAATGACAATACATTAAGGCTAGGCAGAACCTTGATGGGTTTAATGATGAAGACAATGATAGTTGAATACATTTTTTAACCCATAACAATTGTTTTTATTAGTAATTATTAGTTTATTAGTAGTATTAGTATCTGTTGCTTATTTCTGTGGTGCATTATGCTCCTAAAGAAATAAATTAGGTATTTTTATCCTCTTAAAAATTTTTTTTAAGTACGTGAGAGGTTAAATGAGTGGTCCAAGGTTACAGAACTACTAATTGGCATAGCTTGGACTTGAACTTCATCTTTTTTGACTCCATATCTAAGATTCTTTCCATTATGTTATTCTCTGTCTGGATAAAAATGAAGATGAATTTTTTTTTTTTACGTTTTCAGAGGCAATCCTCATGCTTAGTCTCTTATTTGAATTTCTTTAAGGTGTTGCAGGTTTACTAAATCATAAGTATTTTTATATCACACATTATTTGGGAACAAGAAATATCCTTATAATGAGCATGTTTGCTAGTTTTCTCAGAAGTGCAATACTGTCTACATGTACTTTTAAGCTAAATTTTACTAGGAAATGTAGTTTTTAATGTTATGCATATGTGACATTCATATATTCATCAATTATGTTTTGAATTCATTGTCAGCTGTCTAAACAATAAAGCGAACTTACAATAAAATAATGTCCAGATATACCTTTCTTCATTTGTACAATTAGTCTTTTTCAGTAAATTCCCTCTGTATATAGAGAGAACAAATGTTTTATATCCCTCTGTTTAGTCAGCTGTTTTCCATTTCTCCAAAGATGAACATTGTCATACCAAATGAAAATTACAGTTGAACATTTGATCTGAGTTTCTATGACCCAAAAGTTTGGAGAGAGAATGAGTAAAAACCATTCCTGGATAAGACTTGAGATGAATTAAAGGTTTTGTTTTTATTTTATTTTTTTTTAAATGTGAGGAATTTAGCATAATTGGATTCCTTTGGCAATGTAGTTGTGTTTGTCTAGAAAGGAATAAAAATGAGTTTTTAAAATATCTTATCCAGTTTTGTGCTACTACTAATAAACTGAGACAGTGCTTTTTTCCATGGTCTTTTGTTAGAGGTTAGAAACATTGCATTTTAATAGATGGTCTTTTGCAGTAGTAGGAATTGAATGAGAATTTAAAGGAAGCATCAAACATACTGACATATTTGTTTGTACTGACAAGTCAGGTTTGGCTAACATTTTTGTTGATTTTAATGAATTATGTTTAGATTAAATTTGGTTGAGTGATTGAATTAAGAGGAGCCTGTTAAATAATTGTTCCCAGTATCAGATGTTTGGTAAGAGCTCACTATGTACAATGCACTCCATTTTCTTCTCCTTAGCTTTTAGACTTAGTTTTTAATCTGAAATTTGTTTCCTTAGGCCACTTTGCTTAAAGAAGCATTCCCGTGGAACTTTAGTAGTAGAGAGACATTAGGATAACCACCAATCAGAATCTTTTTACTTTGAGTTTCTGGTTGTTAGATCACTCTGTGTGGGTAATTCTGCCACTGTCACGAAGCAGATATTTGGGACCCTTTAAAATGTTGTCAGAGATTCACTCTGGATGCCTTTTACAGCAGTGAGTTCTCCAAGAGCTATGTTCTCTTAGATATTATTTATCACTATCTGTAAGTGTGAATTGATCTTTGTTACTTGGTTTTATGTTGATATCAGGAGGGAATTCTGGAATTGTGAATAACTCATCTGATGACACCAGGGATTACTGCTATTGTGCACCTATTTTTAATCTTTTTCTGCATGAAAAGACTGCTTTGGCTTCTTTCCAGTGATTATTTTTGTGCAATAAGAATTCTTACCTGAGCTGGAAAATTTAGCACTTGTGATAAGTTTCTCACTAATAAATGGAGAACTGTTATTTGAACCACAAGAATAGATAACATTTTAAATCATGGATATTAATTTATGGAACTTTTGCCTTTTTTATTTTTTATTTTTTTGCCTTTTTATGTGCCAGAATTCTATATGTAGAATATAAGCACATAATTCTACTCTTTATAATGATTATACTTACAGTTTTAATGGAATTTAAATATATGAAAGAATGAAAAACATTTATTAAGTATCTACTATGGCCCAAACACTATGCTAAATACTTAGTCAGTAAATATTTGTTAAGTAGCTACTGTGTTCCAGGCCCTGTGCCAAATGATGGAGATACAAAGAAGGGCAAAACACAGTCTTTGCTTTGAAGGAGCTCACAATTTAATGGGAGAGACTACATTCAGACAATTACATACAAACTATATACAGGATAAATTGGAAATAATTAACAGAAAGAAGACACTAGAATGAATTAAGACTGATTGGGAAGGGCTTCCTGTAGAGATTGGGATCTTAGTTCAGGTTTGTGAAATGCTTTGCTCACAACAGTTAGGTGAGGTAATAGTAGTACAAGCGTCATTGCCCTCATTTTACCAGTGAGGAAATGGAGCCTTTTAGAAGTTGAATAATGTGCTCATGGTCACAAAGCTAGGTACTGTCTGAGGGTAACTTGCAATCCGGTTCTTCTGCCTGCCAGTCCAATACTCTACTTATTGCATGACACACTGCCTCTCAATCTACAAGGTAGGGATAGAACCTGAGAGAGGAATAAATATAAGAAGTATAATAATAATAATAAAGAACAACTTATCTTGTGTACTAATCGTTTAATCACAGACTTTATTTATAATAATGAACTATTCATTTGTTCAAGTATCAGAAGGTTTCTCCTGTACATTTTTACCAGTCAAGATGTGGTTCTTGCTGCTTTTCAGACTGGAAATTACTAGTCGGTGTAGTGATTTCAGTCATAGGAATGAAAAAGGGGTATTCTATAGAACTTAAAAAAACCCCTAAATCAATGTGATGAAAAAGAAGTCTAGAACCTGGGGAAGGGAAAAAGTGAAGGAAAAAAAGGGAATAAGGAGGATAGGGGAAAATATTACCATCCCTCAAACTCCTTAATGAAGCAACAATCATCAAAACTCTTAAGTTCTGGTTAAAAATTAGAAAAGTAGATCAGTGGAATAGACTAGATAAGGGAAAACCAGTAACAGTTACAAAAAAAAAAACCAAACCTCAACTGTTGGCTTGATGTTTGATAAAACCAAGCACTTAAACATTGCAAATAGTAAGAGTTGCTTGTCAAACAGAAAAGTACTTTGACAATCTCACTCTCTGAAACATATATCACAGTGTGCTCTAAATAAGGGATGAAGTAAGAAGATAAACTATACAATTTCAGGTCAATAAAAGTAAACTTTTGCATGAACAAAACTAATGCAGATAAAATAAAAAAGAAACTCAACAGGGAACTCAAATCTTTTATATCAAGTATCCTTGATAAAATTAAAGATATATAAAAATTGTCTCAAATTTGTAAGCTCAAGAACGGTTTCTTAGTGTATTAGTAGTCAAAGGTCATGTACAATTTAAAAAAAAGAATTGCAGTTATCAAGGACAATATGAAAGCAAACTGGCAATCACTATTAATAGGTATGCAAATTAAAATAACTCCGAGGTTTCACTTCATGTACATTACACTGGAAAAGATGACAAAAAAATCAGAATGTGGGAGGCTTTATGGGAAGACAGGCACATAAATGCACAGCTGGTAAAGCTCTCACTTGGTCCAACTGTTCCAGCAAACAGTTTAGAATTAGAGAATAGTGACTAAATTAGTAATGCACTTTTGACCCAGCAATTCCACTATGGAGGCATATACTCTGAGGAGGTCAGAGGTGGAAAGGTCTAGTATGTCTCACAAAATTCATAGTAGCTCCTTTTGGGGTAACAAAGAGTGGAAGCAAAGTGGATGCCTATTGATTGAAGGCGGGCTGAATAAATTGTGATACATGAATGCAATGGTAGATAAATATATTTGCAGGAAGAAATAGAAAACATGAGAAATTCAGAAGCTCTGAAGAAGAAAGAAGGCAGAAATGGGAACCGTATGCAAAACGATTACAAAATGCAAATAAAGCAAACACTAAAATGATATACATTATACATATTTGTGTGTGTGTGTGTGTGTATACACACACACACACACACACATATAAATTGTTAAAATAAATAGCAGTAATTGTAAGAACAGTTAAACAACAACCCATGCTTCTCAGTACAGAGACTTGGGAGAGTACTGGATACATTTTCAGATATAGTCACTACACTGATTGTTTTTGCTTAACTGTTTTTCTTTGTTATAAGAGAGGATTTATTTCCTGGTTAGGGGTAGGTTGGAGGTGAGGAGTATATCTAGCATTGACGATGTAAAAACAAGAGGCATTAATAAAATATGTTTCAAATTCATCTATCACAGCTGTCAATTAAAGAGACATTTGTATCTTTTATGTTGTTACTGTCTTTGAATATTTATCAGTACCCTAATGACACATGAAGCTATATCATTCTATATTGTATATTGTAACACAGTACAGGATGCTGAAGGTAAAACATTTGGCTGCATTCAGTAGATGGTTTTTATTCACATTGTCATTATAAAATATTTCACTAGTCTCCATTTAAGTATCTCTTGGGATACATAGTATTCATTATAATAGAGTCTGTGTTCTTTCTCCCTCTCACTTGCTGTCTTTCTAGCTTTCTACACACACACACACACACACACACACACACACACACACACACACACACACACAGATATGTGTATGTGTGCCCACGTAATTCTTCTCTCTTCCCCACCCCCTACCCCTCAACCTATAGAAACTTGTATCAGGAGGTAGATCAGTGGAACAATGGTCAACTCTTGTCTCTCTTTTTTTTTTTTCCAGAGAGTGTTCAGAGCACAGCATCGGCTTCTAATGAGATCCAGCAACCCCAGCCTCAGGCATTGCATTACACACTTGCCAATGCCCAGCAGGTCCAGATCCACCAAATTGGCGAAGATGGGCAAGTACAAGTAGTATGTACTCTTTATTAGTAGCCCTTTCTAAGAGGTGCGGACATCAAAGCAGACATCTTTGGGGCGGAATAGCATTCGTGGCGAGGAATGATTTAATATTGACCTAAGCTGTGTGATAGTTAATAAGCAATGTGCGTATATGTGCACTGATGTCTTTGGGTGATGAAAGAAAGTACCTTACCTTAAAGTGAATGGAATTTGGGTGATGGCCATGGGACTTGTAGGATTGAGAGGGACTGTAGAGCTCTCTTGCTCTACCACTCACTTGCTTCAGTTTTTTCTGATATGGGAACAGATGCCCACAAACATGAAGTGAGTTGCTATAAATCCCACAGCTGGGTTGTTTTACCAGCAAGGCTTTTGGTATGCATCTCTGAGATGATGCTAAGTACCTCTCAGTAAGTAGTCTAAATGTCCCTTTTCAGCCATTGCTCTTTTGTCCTGTGAAGGTGATTTGCATGTGCATATGGGTAGCTTGTGGTGAATCTCAACAAGCCCGGGGTAGGCTTTTTGTCATGCATTCTGCAATGCCTTTGGCCCTGGAGAAATGACCCCAAGTCTTCAAATTTTAGTAATGCTGGCCCTCCTTTTACTTAGAGACAAGAAGAAAATTTGTTTCTATGAATAACTCAACAATTTAAGAAAATATAGTTTGCTTTGTTGAATTGAGTTCTACTTATTTTGACAATTTCTCTAAAATTTTCATGACTGAGAAGTCAAAATTCAAGAAATCCAAATTACTTAATATAAAAAAAATAAAATAATTGAACTATTTATCTTCAGTGGTGATGGAAAAAAAATCTTCCCTGTTGCTCTTACTAATGAAAAATAGTTACTGTCTCTTCCTTACAAAAGATTAATAACCCAGGCTAAACAAAATGTAGAGAGGACTGTAAGATCAAGACAGATGTGCAAATACATTACCAATATTTAATACATCTTCAATACGAAATGAAGGAGGCATTTCCTCTTTTCATGTGTTCCTTTTTAAAGGATAAGACTCCTGAAAATTTTGTTAAGGAGCTGAGAATTTAAATGTGTTCCACTGGTATACATTCTTTGAGATTTTTTTTTTTAGCATCATGTGCATATAACATGAAGATTATCATTTTCATGCCTACTTAATTTATAAGGTCATGGAACCTTGGAATCGTACATGTTAAGAAGGAAAAGCAGTCCTGAGTTTAATGAGAATTGAGATCTTTTCATAGTATTACACCATACCACTCTCAGTTGAATATTTTCATTAGTTTTTTCCTGCTCCTGAAGGAAAGGAAATAATTTGAAATAGAGAATTTTCTTAAAGACAATGCTGGCATGGAATTCTAAGTAGATATTTTTATCCCAGGTTTTATATAAACATATTAAACTATAAGCAAAATGATATAAAATTTAAAATAGGTTGCTTAAGAAACTGGTTTTTCTCTAATAAATTTTATATTAAGATATATTTTAATAATAGAGCTTAGTTTCATTAGTCAATTGACATGAATTTTTTTTCTTCCAAAATAGGTATAAAAGTCATGTTGACTATTTTGTGACTTAAAGCTTGATTTTCCCAATAATCTCTTAGTTTAGATTTTTTTATTGCCATATTTGTCATATTTATAGCAGTTACAAATCTGTTTACTCTTTTTCTTTTTACTAGCGTGCTATTTTGATAAAAATGTATCACAATGGCTAGTTCTTAATGTTGAGGTGTATGTGTAAAATTGCCCACATGGCCCAAAATAGAGCCCTGTAAATCTGTAGCTAGTCCTTCTCCCACTTTCCTGGTTCTGGGTATGTGTTTTGGAAAGAATTGTAAGAAGATCTTATTCTAATGCTCCATGTACTGAGAACCAGGCTGGTAGGTATTTTCATAGAGAAATGGAAATTCTCTCCCCTAAAATTTGATTAACTTGAATTTATAACTTGATTTTAAGTAACACTTTTGTTTTAATCATCTAGAAAATTTTTGATAAGGAAATAGTTCTCCCTCTTTTCTACTAACCTCTTTACTAGCTTCTTTACCACAATATGAGGCTTAACCTAACATTTGTGACTCATCGCTTCATCAAAATTTTTATATAGATAGGTTTTTAGTGTCAAAGATGCCATATTTAAGCCCTTTGCAATATTTGTCATATAGATTTGAGTTGTTATTATTTGATAATAAGGAATGGCAAGAAACTATACTGTTACTATATTATAAATGGAGTACAATGTGTTATTCAAGATTTAAATATCTGTTCTGGGTTTGCTATTTTGGGGGAGGTCATTTATTGAACCATAATCATATAATTAGGAGTTCCAAAGATACTTTTTTTCCCCTGTTCTTGATTTTCTTCTGATGCTTCTTGATGTTTTATTTTGCTGTGGATTCCACAGGGACATCTCCACATAGCTCAAGTGCCCCAGGGGGATCAAGTCCAGATAACACAAGACAGTGAGGTGAGTGGCCATGGCTCCCTAAACCCAAGAGCCATTCCTCCAGCTGCACCCTGTATTCCTTCCTTCATTTTTAGCAATGGTCTTCTCCTGCATGACACTACACATCTGAAAATCAAACCTGTATTAGGAAAACACTTTCTCCACCAATACTTCAAAGACCTGTAGTTTATTTAGTACGGATCTTCCTTGCACTGATATAGCTCATAGTCCTGTAACTTAGCTGATGATCCTTGAGAATTGCCATGGCTGAAAAATCTGTTTTCTCTGAGCAATTCCATTCATCAGCCCTCTGAACTGGTCCTGTAGCTGGTCCTTTGATGACAGATCTGCGTGGCGTGCCGTTGGGCTTCAATGCCAAGTCTTTTGAGTTTGATTCAGAGCTAACGGTTCCCTGGAATATCCTTTGAGAACGCAGGAGTTCATCTAGGACGTGATGAGGTACCCTAGGGTTAGGGGAAATACAATTAAAAGAGGAAATTCTGGAATCGGATACATTTCTCTGGGGTTTTTCTGAAGCATCTTTTGTGTCCCTAATTTTATGCTAAGGGGGAAACCAAAGACAGAGGGAACCCAGTTTTCAAGAGCTTCACTTTGTTTGGAAAGATGCACTCAGTGCTGTTAAAATTACTAATAAACAGTACCATAGAAAAGATCACATGATCATAGACTGACAGAAGGGACCTTGATAGAGCTTATTCAATTTGAGTGCATATGGTATAGAACCAGGGGTGGGGAACCTGCGCCCTCAAGACCCCATGTGGAGTTTGGAGTCAGTCAGAGGGCCACACTGGAGGACCTAGAGTCCCACATGCAACCTCGAGGCTGCCCCTGGATAGACTCAATGCACCATTGGAATTTAGAGAACATTGAGGCTGGAACTGTGAAGGAAGGACTCACAGATGAGATGATATGAGAGCCAACCCATGGTAGATTTGAAACTTAAAATTTAAGTGAACTATTTTTCAGATAAGTTAAAGGCTCATGTTGAAAAAGAATTGACTGGATATAGTTATTCCCTTGAGTCAGCAAATGTCAACTACTTTTTCTTGGAAGCCAAGCAGTTATATGTATCCTATATTAGCCAAATGTGGTTTATAATTGATGATCTCCTCTTTTAATATACTTCAGGGGATGAAGGGTTTTCTTGTTTTTAGGTCGTGAAGATAGAACTAGCTTTGTGCTTACTCTGCATGCACGTCAATGTGTTAAAAATGTTTTAGATCTCTTCAGATGCTGAATGCATCTAACAGATGCACATCCAGCAGGCCCCAGGAAAGGCACTGGATCGCAAGGAAAGCTCTTGGGCTTGACCAGATTAATTAGGTGGTTAATGGCCATTTGCTGGGGCTCTTTGCACTATTTCTCACACTGCTCAGAATTATTTTGAAGTTAAGGGAAATATATTATGGGAGTCAGTAAAAAGCTAGCACTTTTAAAAAAACATACTATTGATGAGTTTACAGTAGACTTCTTTTTGTTAAGGGGGCTTATTAACATAGTGTTTCTATATATCTATGGTGCAAAAATTACCTCTGAATACTCTCATATGGGTGTAGCAAAAACTGAAGCCTGAACTGAGAATTCAAGAGATATCAAGTAATTTCTGTCAGTGCTACGAGAAGGCATTTTCATTGAATGGTTTGAATGACAGGAATATTGGTCCAAATAGAATGTATTTTAGGGAAAAAAATCATAGCAAAATGGCTAGCTTTTCCTCATTAAACAAACAAAACCACCTCATCCTCTGCCACTTTTAACAGTTGTGTTCAAAAAGTATATTTTTATGTATTTAATGTATGAAAAGAAAGAGCTTTTCTCACAGACACAGACAGACAGACAGACAGACACACACACACACACACACACACACACACACACACACACACACACACACACACACACACGAACACATAATGACCAGTGTTTTTATTATTAGAGTTTCAGTTTATACTCATAAGAGACAAAAAACTGCAACTTTCTCATGTGGACCTGGTAATAAGCATTTCATGTTGGGTCTGTGCATGTTTGATAAAAATGGAAGAATTGGAAAAGAACAAGATTCTCCACAATGTACCTCATGGAAGCTACATGACCAGACTTTAATTATATTTTAGTAAATTACATTTTTTTCCTTCATTGGGAGACCTTTTTTTTTAAGTTGTAAAACTCTGGTCCACGTGGTTAAATATTTTAAATGAGGTGTACTTTCATTGTTTTTATTGGCCAAGAAGGTCAGACCCTAGGAGCAGTTCCTGAAATTAATTTTGCTTAAGTAAACAAGTGAAGTATTAAATAACAAACACTGTAAATGTCTCTTGAAATCAGCATTCTGTTGCCTGATTCTTCTCCTTGTGTGTGTGTGTGTGTGTGTTTTTTTTTTTTAACAGGGCAATCTACAGATTCATCATGTTGGACAAGATGGGCAGGTAATAACTATCTATTCTGATCACTTGTCAGATGTTGGTGAATTACATGGAGTTTGCCTGAATATTTGACTTGACTTTGCTGAGTTGGCACGTTCTCATTCCGTGAAGTCTCCATAGAGTCTAAACATATAGATCTTAACACTGGAGGTGGAACATTTCTCCTTTGTATCATAAAGTAACTTAATATTCAAACAAAATTTTCCCTTGATTGATGAAATAATAGCAGTTCAGTGACCTTTTTTCTTCTTCATCGTGGATGAAGAGTAAAATTTTTATTCCATGTAGTCTTTCTATACCTTTGCCATGATTTCTTAGTTTGCCAGACCCAGAATTATGTTGATTGAAGAACATCTGTAAGAATTATGTAAATGTTGTTTCATGATCACAAGTCCCCCGAGAATGCAGTAAATTTTAGTAAGATAGTTTTATTATTGTAGGTCGCTTATAAAACTGAGACAACTTAAATTCTTTCTCATCTGTGGAAGACAACGCCCTTGAGTAGAAACCTCATGATGAGAATCAGCTGTAAAAAGTGAAAATAGTCAAAACACAAAATAATCACAAGTGATTTGCCTTACAAGCCCAAGCTAAGTCTGTACGAGTGGTCCTAAATCTTTTGGGGTATGATCACAACTTATGAATAGAGAGGAAGATTATTTCAGAAGCTGCTCATCTTTCAGAATTAGCTAATTTGTTGATATGGATATACCAATCAGAGTAAATTTTACAAACAGTGAGTATATGTAATGTATAAACATGTTTATTACATCAGTTAACTGATATTTATTCAAGTAGTATTATATCTAATACTAGTATTTCCACATTTGGAATATCTCACTTTCATTTGCATATCTTAAGTGTTTTAAAATCACCATTCTGAGAGATAAATGCCTCACGTGTATAATGTCTGTATGCGTTACGCATATTATCTAAACACATAACCTACATGAAGAGATCATTTGTACATGTCTAGGCACATAGGCATCTTATGCCATGCATTTATGTGAATATTACATGTTATGTATGTATATGCAGATGCGTTCATTATATTTATGTGTATGTGTTTCCATAAGTAAATAACATTATACCAGCTTATCTTTTATACATGTCTATACATGCATATGTGCCTGCATGTACACATGCACCATGTTTGGAATGTATTATACTGAAGCTTTCAATCATAACATACGTGTGTTTATGTTAAGCATGTAATATATTTAGATTCAGTATAGAACAAAAAGATTTAATAAATCCAATATTGGGTTAATACCCCTTTTGGTCTTTTGGAACCTAGACCAGAGACTTCATTATCAAAGGTTATAAAGCAGAATCATAGAGCCTTGGAGCAGTTTCTCTTGAAAATGGGGCTGTTGCTATCAGGAGTTTGTGCCGCTTCAGAAGGAAGGATTCCAGGCGTACCAAAGAGGAACGAGCCACTTGGAGTTGTTGTTGTAGGTCTCCGAAAGGTGCTTTGGGCCATGTGTTTTAAATAATGTAATTAAGTTGAGCTACCTTGGAGAGGCAATTGGGAGGTTTTAAAAATTCTGGATTTTCCCCCTCCCCTCTTTTTTTAAATTAGGTTTTAGTCAGGGATAGGGCTAGTTTGATTTTGAAGTTGTAGTAGCATTTGGCATCTAGTTGTCTGTTTAAAGAGCTAGATAACCAAATAAGTGTTAAACTTTAAAAAGTTCAGTAATTGCATATTACAAAAATTGGTACTTCAGTTGAGAGGCAATGGCTAGTTGTCAGGTCTAATATCAGTAAATTGTGATAAAAATTTCTTTTGAAAAGTTCTTATGTTTGTTCAGTTGAGAATTGTTTCATTTTGGGTGGGTGGAATACCAGGTTTAAAATCGGTATCTGGGCATATTGTCTTTCATAAATTATTTTGTTTCCTTTTTTCACTGCTAATGATATTTCAGTATAATACAATAACAGGAGCTCCTTTGACTGACTCATAAAAAATAAATTATTTTACTTAGAAATTCCTCTTCCTTTTCCTGTCTTGGAGCAATATTCTGTCTTCTATTTACTTTGTCCTCAATATTCCCTTTTTTCACATCTCAAATTTTTAATGTTCTAATTTAATTCTACTTCCTGTGAGGATGAGTTAAAGAAGACTGCAGAAAACTCTCCCACATATTATGTAAAAGTAGAAGCCGAGGCTTATATCTAAAAGACACATCAAGTTTGTAGGAAGGGTAGAAAAATGATTACAATCCATTTTCAGACACAAGTATATTGATTCTTACAGCATTCTTTTGAGGGGCCAAGAAATAGTAAGATCTTATTTTTTTTGGAACCAGAACACTCAGCTAACCACATAGCGTGATTTTATCTTTAAAAAAAAACCCAAAAACCAAAAAACAGTCATCATAGCATGAATTCTGTTCGGTTTGCTGAATTTTTTTATTAAACACGTTGTTCAGAGCACTGTGCTGGACATTTGGTTCAATGAAACAATTAAGCATACTTACTGTGTCCTTTAGGAGCTTCCAAGTAGTAGACCATGGTTCTTAGGTATACTAAGACTGTTCATCTTTGTATCACTGTTGCCTAGCAGAGAGCATCACTAGTAGGCAGACACTTAACACATGTATGTTTGTGCTTGAATCTGGGAGGACGATGACATTAACTTATCTCATTCACTTTCACTAGGAGTACTGTGCAGCGACCCTTCATGTTCATGGGGATGACCATGAGTCACTCTATAGTCCTGAGGCATCTTCTGAATCCTTCAGAATGAATGGCATTGTATTCTGTGTAATTTAGCATTGATTATGTTTTATTATATTTGAATACTTTGATGATTGCATTTTGTACTTTCAGTTAGTTGTAATAGTCCATAATTCCAACTACTCAGTTTCCCCAGTCATTCTGAACAAATGGGAATTTACCTTATGAATGAAAGTACAGTTTAAATAGGTTCAGCTTACTAAGAGTACATCATGGCTTAATTCCAAGCTGCCTCACAGAATTTCTTCTTTTGGGTTTGTATCCCCCATTTTTAGCCCCAATTAAAACTATCACGTCAGCTTTTTCTACATTTGGATACCTTGAATCATAGATTTAGAGCTCTGAGGGACCTTATATAGGGCAAATTAGTACAACTCCATTTTGTAGATGAGGAAACTGAGGCCCAGAGAGTGTAGTTAAGTTGGCATTTGATTTGCTACATAAATACTGGCTTCTCTTTTGATGTTAATTTAAGGCAGTCACATACATCAATGTACAAGCTGCTTCCTTCCAAGGTCCTGCAAGTAATAAGTGGCAGAGCTGGATTTGAATCCAGCACCTGCTTCATCCTTACTGTTTCACTTCATACCCTCTTTTTTAAGAGCTACATTTGAAAGGTGACATATATATACACACACACACACACACACACACACACACCCACACACACACACACACACCACACACACAATACACAAAAACAGTTCCTTAGAAGCTTCAGGGGAAAAGCAAATTTAGAGGTTAGAGGTCCTTGCAGTAAATGGATGTCATTTTGCTTGTTCTCATTGAATGTAGGGGGTGAATTGACAGTTTTCCCTTTGTCACTGGGCTCCAAACTGCCTTTGGTGGGAGCATGCATGATTGGCAAGAATATTTTGGCCTGACAGTTTTTATTTTTAATACAATTTACGTGAATTACAGTATTTACTTCTAATTGTTTGTATGTGCTTGAGTCTTTTGATTGGCAAGGTATTGTGCTGATCTAAATGCTTCTTTAAACTAAACTTAAGAGAGAGAGATAATTCTTTGTAAAGGCCAGTGATTTAAAAATTACCCTGTATGATTTAACTCTTTTAATTTTTAAATTTTCCAATAATTGCAATTGCTTTAGATCATTGAAGAAACATATATCATAAGCCCCTGGAGAGCTGGCGAATGAATCTACCTTAGGACGTTTGAGTTCTGAATCTGGCTTATGTTTCCATATTTGACTAAGTGTCTGGCAGTCGTGCCAAGTAAGACTCCTTGGACTAGAAGGAACTTCATGAGCTATTCACCCTCCTGCCTGCTTGGAAAGATTGTCCTTAGTTCCCCATCAGGAAGAGTTTTCTCTCCCTTTCTTTTTAAATAATGGCCTCAAGATTGTTTTCTGGCTGCTCTTTGTAAGGTCCTCTCATTGCCCTGATGCTCCGAACCTGAATTCCTTCTCTCTGATCATGAGTCCTTTCCTTCCTGTGATCTTTCTAGCCAGAGGAATGACTCAGAACTCATGGAACAGAGCTCTTACTGCTGCCTGTGCAGAGGAAGTCATTGCCCCGGCTTCTGTTAGTGGAGATTATTTGTCTTTCCTGAATAAATTTGGTTTTGGTTCCATTAAACATCCTATTTACATCTGCTTAGTTCTTCTACTTGGCAAGGCAGTTCCGAATTCAAATTGTCTTTTCTAATATGCTAGACGCCCAGTTCAGCTTCAAGCTTTTTGGTAATGAGTCTGATTTTTATCCCCACATCCAGATAATTAATGCTGTAGAATCCTAGTCTATTGCTATAAATTTCTAATGCTAGGGGTTGCCACAGAGCACAGAGAACCAGGCTTGGAGTTAGGATGACCCCAGTTCAGAAATGGCCTCAGACTTAGCTGTGTTACCCTGGGCAAATCACTTAACTGCTATCTGCCTCAGTTTCGTCATGTGCAAAATGGAGATAATAATTGCATAATAATGGTCATTGTGAAGATAAAATGAGATATAATTGTATAGTGCCTAGCACAATGCCTGGCATGTAGAAAGTGCTCTATAAGTGGTTTTTTTTTCTTCTTCTTATTATTATTTTTACTATTATCATAATTGTCATGTCATAATTGAGGTTAGGATAGGGTTATTAGCCTTCTAGTCTGACCCACATTCTGAGTTTGTTCTTGTAGCCAATAAAATCACTGCAGCATTCGTCATAGAACTGTGGTGATTCTCTGTAAACAAGAATTGAAAATGATTTTATTGAGCGTCCATACTTTCTTTAGGAAATCATTTGAAGTCTTTTCAAACCGA